TGACTGCAAAAAATATCATTCTCTTCTTCGAGTGCTGTCCTTGTAGGTGCTCCACTCTGTGGTTGGGAAGACTTTGGAACTGTGTAATTGGTAGCAGTGAATAGTATGATGCAGCCTACTAGAGTGTCAGTTGTGGCCTCTGGGAAAGGTTCATAGTATTTGGCAAACGTATGATGTGATGCCCACGTGGCTGTTTTAAATATATTGTTTATAGGTACTGTGACAAAGCTCCTTCTCTGCCTTAGTGGGTCCCACACTTTCAGGTGCTGCTCGCTTTAGAGGCTCATGGCACCCCTTCCCTGCAGCACAAACTTGCCATTTATTTAACCACCCTCATCTTTGGTCAGGATGTGAAAAAGAGAGGAGACCATTGTCTCTACTGCCCATCTGTGTGGTACAGGGACAGGCCACATAATTTTCCAAATTAGTCCTTCTATGGTACATCCCACTGTAGATCAACTCTCCTATGGTGAACAGGCAGTCTGGGAAACCCAGGTCCTCCCTCTACACTGGGTTCCAGCCCAGAGACCCTGTGATAGCAGCTGTCCATAATGTCCCCAGTTTCTGTTATGTGATAGCTATGATTCCTTGAGCTACTTCCCCATGGTCCTCCCAGCATCTCTCTTACTGCAAGCTTGTCCTTCTGGTACCTGATAGCGTTTGTACTGCCCAGACCCTCCACAGCAACTTCTTACTGCAGCTCCTTGCTAACAGAAAGGAAGTCTTTTTAACAAGCAATAACTATTCCCTAATTGACTATAGGTACCCTGATCAGCCTGTCTTAATTGGTTTTAGAAAGTTCCTGATTGACTTCAGGTGTCTCAATTGCCTTAACTGATTGTCTCAAGTGGCCAGTCTCCCTTAATTGATTTTCACAAGTTCCTGATTGTTCTGGATTAGCCCTTTTTACTTTACCCTATTAAATCTTTAGATTAGTCAGCAATGGACAAGAAAAGTCTGGGACTTCACTTTGTGCAGCTGCCATTGGCTGGAAATGGTCATCTGAGACCAGTGGGCACTGCAAGCACCTGTACTTGCAGAGATACAGGTAAATATAGCAGTTGCAGCTTGCCAGGTGCTAACCCTGGTGGACCACCTCCAATCTGTGGGCCCATTATTGCCCACTGCTGGGCTAGATCAACATCTGCAGCAGGTAGGGATAACACATCTATTTGGGCCATGCTGGAGCAATTAGTATGATAAGGACTTTATCATCTCTATTTTGCTGGCAACTCTCTGAAGAAGTGGAGTTGGTGCATAAGCATACATGAGCAAGGGATGTTAAGTATCGGTTAATTGAATAGTCGATTAACCTCATGAATCCTTATCAGTTACTCGACTATTCTATAGTCCCCAGGAGTGGGGCAAGTGGCCACTGTGCTCTAGACCCACTCCTGAGGAACCCCCTGCCACTTCGTGCTGCTGCCTCTGTATCAGCCAACACAGGCTGCCCCTGGGATGGAGCTGGCTCCAGCATTTGGAAAGCAGGATAAGGCATCTGCTGAAGGCAGGGGGGTAGGGTGGAATCTCCAGTGAACTTGGGGATAGGGCATTAGTCCCTGTATCAGAGGCAGCAGCATGGAGTATCAGGCAGGAGCTGATCCGTGAAGGGAGCCAGTTTAAAAACCATCTTCCCTCATGGACCAGCTGCCTGTCACCCTCCACTGCTGTCTCTGATACAGAGGCAGCAGCATGGTATGGTAGCAGCCCTGTCTGGGGGTTGGGTGGGAGGCTGAGCTCCTGGACCCAGCGTGAGTCAGAACTGAGCAGGGTGGCCTGCCCACCTGACTCCTAATACACTTTAAATGCAGAGCTGCAGTGGATGTAGGTCCAGACCCAGCACGAGTCAAGACTGAGCAGGGCTGCTGACCAGCCTGCTAAAAAAATTACTGGAGCAGTGTGGGGGGAAATGCGTGTAGTCTATAGCATTAACTTATAAACTTTTGCTTATCAGTTAATCAACTACACTATTACATCCCTAACATGAGCATCTCTTGCCATGGGATAAGGAATGTGTCCCCTAAGTTTGCAGCCCTCCAGCAGTATGGCAAACAGGTCTATGATTAATGGAGTGACCAGGTGTTGTGCCACTGGGGGGTTGAGTTCCCATTCATGGTTGTGTGAAAAATGTCTGCTGAGAATGTTAGCAGTAATGTTCTGATAGCCGGGGAGGCAGGCGGCTAAAATGTCTATGCAATGTTGAACACAGCAGTTACATAGTTTGATGACCCCTATCCATAGGCAGTATGAGGGTGTTCCCCTTGTCTGTTGATGTAAAAAGTGCATGCTGTACTGTCTGTCAAGGTGCAAATCATCTTGTGCCTTACGAGAAGGAAGAAGTGAAGGCACATGTACCCGACTGCCATGAGCCCTTGTCCTGGCTGGAAATGGGGCAAGTGGTGTGTGTGTGGGGGGGGGGGGGGGGGGGGGGGAAGGGTGTTGGTAAAAGGGGACACCCACCCGTTTCCCTTTTTCATCCACCAGTGTGTGGAGTTTAAAACATTTGAGGGCAGTTACCATCATGCAAAGATTGTGCTTGGCTAGATTATATACTGAGCTGAACCACCCCCAGTAGACATTGCATGGGGAGCCTGGCATGTATACCATGTAGTAGGTGGTGGCAGCTATGTGGCCAAGAAGTTGGAGGCACATTCTGTCTCCTATCATGAGACACATGATGGTGAGGAATCTGGCAGTTAGGACAGAGGTGCTGGCAATAGTTGAGTCCGAGAGCTCTAACGATCTTGCATGATGTATTGCCAAGCATACAGGAGTTGCTTGAGGTGATGACCAAATGGGTAGTTGGGTGCTGGTAAGGAGTGGTGTCCCAAATCCTCAACCAAGCCTTCAAAATTGAGGTTTGGTGACCAGCGATTGGGGTGGAGTTTGATCTTGGTTGGTCTATGCCTAGTCTATCTGTTGTGATTCCTCATCGTATCATAGGGCCTAGATTGCTGGTGGCCATAAGGTTACAGGTGAGAGCACTGGTATGAGTGATATCTCTTCATCTTGAAGTGGGGCAGGTATTTCCCTGGCATGGATAAGGCGACTCTGGAGTCCTTCATAGTGTGGAGGACTTCATCAGTCTTGGAGGAGAAAGCTTTTCCTCATTGAAAGGCAAGTCCTTTACTTTGATTTGTAAATCTTTTGGGATGCATGAAGAGGGATGCTATGATACCCTGCACATAACTATTGTGGAGGCCATTGTTCAGGCTGCCATCTCAGCCATGTCCAGTGACAACTATCACATAACTATTGTGGAGGCCATTGTTCAGGCTGCCATGTCCAGTGACAACTACAGGGCCATTCTGGAGCCTAACGGTCCCTCTATGAGGAGAAATTTGAAATCAGGTCGCTGGTCTTTATGGAGAGAAGAGGCAAAATCAAAATGTTTGGCATAGATGTCAAGGAGAGCATAGGGTGACCCTGGAGTTAGCAATGTGGATTTGCATAGTGGAGATATATAAACCTGTGGCCGAGAAGGTCAAACCATTTGGAGTCTCTCTCCTGTGGTGGTGATCTGTGTTGAGATTGTTTGGCTCTGTGATTAGCAGCCTTGACCACCAGAGAGTTGTGATAAAACTGAGATAATAGGCAGTCCATACCCTTGGCTGGGACATAGCATTTTCTGTCCATTCTCTTGCATGTTGGGGGCATGGAGGTAGACATCTGCCAATTACTGTTGTCAGTATCTAGTATGGCCTGATTTATTGGCAGAGCAATTATGGATGATGTTGGAGAATCTCGAGCAATTTATGTTGAGTCTCCTGTACTTTTTTTTTTGGGAGGGAGGGGGGAGGATATCTAGTATGGTCAGCAACAAAGCTGGTCTGTTACGAGATCCTAGTTGGGCTTGGCTTGTATGTCCCAATCCCTGACTACCCTTCTCAAATTTCTGTCTGTAAGTAGGAGAACAGGACCTGGATGAAGCGCTGGCTTCTCAATAGTGAAACACAAGGACCCACCTCAGATTCTGATGACATCAAATAGTCTGAAAACCAAGGCTGTGCAGTACTGAGGGTAGGCATGGGGGGCTCTTGAAGATCAAATTACCACAATCTATGCTGGGAATGCAAAAGATGGAGCTGACATCTGAGCAGAGAGCAATGAAGAAAGCAGTATGGGCCAACAGCAGAATAGAGTCTGTACACCTTTTCATCTGAATCAGACAAACTTTTTGAGAATAAACTATTAATTGGCAAGTTTACACACATACACCCAGAAAATCCTAACCAAAATAAAAATGTTCTCTTCCAGGACTACCCAAGAACCATCCCAAAAGGTCACACTTATATTTGAATGTTGCTTTTGAATTTTTTGCAAACAGAAAAATATTATACCTGTTCATTTACCACTTGTATCAACTGTAGCCCCCTTCCTCCAAAATATTGCTTATGCATGCTGGTTTGGAGACAATGGCTGAGTGTATGTCTGAATAAGTGAGAGGAGGAACATGTACCTAATTATGAGGGGTAAGCAGAGTGAATCTGTGCTGGAGAGAGAGAGAGAGAGAGAGAGAGAAGATGGGTAGGTTAATGGGCTATGAATGGTTTATGGTGTGATGGATGGTGATGAGGTTAAAGAAAAACAAAAAACTTAATAGCCAGTTTTGAATCTTTATAGCAGCTGTATTTCAAGTTTTTAAAAAAAAAATCCTTACAAATGATTTTTTTCCCATTTTAAGTATTTTTGGAACTTGGCTTTACTTTGCATAAATTTATACTTCAGCAACAATTTCCAGTTTAGTTAAACACACATACACCCTAGTTATACAGCATCCAAAGTGCAATATATGTGGAAAGTCACCTAAGGTAACATTCTAAAATGATGAGTTTATTGCACAAAAATAAGACGTACAGGGAAAATGGTTTACCAAGTATTCCCAATCTGTGTTTCTACATAGACAAATTGGCAGTTGATGACAGAAGCAACAGCTTCTCTGCTATAGCCAGGTCCCTCAGGCTCTCCTTGAAAAGGCAGCCTCTGCTACCCGGACGTAAAATGCGCTTGCTATTATGTCAGGCTCTCCTTGAAAAGGCAGCCTCTGCTACCTGGATGTAAAATGAGCTTGCTATTATATGAAAAAAAAACTTAGCTGAGAAGAAACATCAGCCTGCAGCTGTAGGAGAGAGAAGTAACTCAACTGACAATTAGTTAAGATAAAATAGGAGAGGAAGTGATCATTCTACAAAAGCCTCCTTTACAACATACTTTAAAAAGTATACATGTGAACAAAAGGCTACAAACTCTCCCTTTGTGACTAAAGAACTGCCACTAAGAAATAGCTCAAAAATATAGACAGATTTAGGGCTGCCAAGCAATTAAAAAATTAATGTTAAACAATAGCATTATTTAAATATTTGGATTTTTTTGCCTTTTCAAATATTTTTATTTCAGTTACAACACAATACAAATTATACAATGCTCACTTTATATTTTTTATTATAAATATTTGCTCAGTTAAAAAAAATTACAAGTAGGACCTCCCTAAACTGGGACTCTCTTGTCTGGCAACATCCATGGATGTTGGACCATGGATGTTGCTGAATGAGAGAGCCTTAGGGCAGGAGAGCCAGCAGCTGAAAGCCCCACAAAAGAAAAGGCTGAAGGTAGCGGGGCCAGGTGCTCAGTAGACTGGCGGCAGTAGCAGGGCTGTGGAAGTGGGACGGGGCAGTCTGTGTGTGCTGGCCCAGCAGTGAGGTTGTGCCACGGTAGCCCAAGTGGAGCTACTTGCTGGCTCAGCAGTGGGAACAGTCATGGCAGCCTGGCTGGCAGTAAGGCTGGGCCACAGTAGCCCAGCAGGGGAAGCCCATCTGGGGCTGCAGCGGGTCAGCAGCCCTATCGGGGCCACGTACTGCCCAGCAGTGGGGCTAGCGCCACAGCAGTGGGGCCAGGGCAACCACATCATCTGGCCAGCAGCATGGCCAAAGGAGCCGGCAGCGAGGAGGGGGGGCAGGCTGAGGGGGCCAGAGGCAGGAGACCTTCCCTGGTCCGGCAAATTCCCTCATCTGGGACTGCTCGGGTCCCGAGCATGCTGGATCAGTGAGTCCAACCCGTAGCATTTTTCAATTCCTCCATTAAAAGTACTGTAATCTCATTAAAAGTTGAGCTTACAAATGTAGAATGATGTACAAAAAGTCTGTTTTATTTTTTAATGCAATGTAAAACTGTATAGCCTGCAAGTATAACCTACTTCTCGTCCTCTCAAACAAATAAGTGTTTACATTTGCAGGAGGAAATAATGCTGCTCATTTCTTGTTTGTCATCTGAAAGTGAAATCAGATGTTTGCATGGCATTGTTGTACCCAGCATCGCAAAGATTTTTATGTCCTTTTACCTCTCAATCGCAATTCCATTATCAGATGTTTGCATGGCATTGTTGTACCCAGCATTGCAAAGATTTTTATGTCCTTTTACATCTCAATCCCATATGACATTAATCCATGATGCTAATGGAGTTTGCTCAGTGATTCAAAGCAGTATGGACTAACAGCTGTTTGTTTCAATCATCTGAGTCAGATCCAATCAGAAGGTTGATTTTCTTTTTTGGTGGTTCAAGGTTCTGTAGCTTCCACATAAGAGTGTTGCTCTTTTAAGTCTTCTGAAAGCATGTTCCAAACCTTGTACCTGATTTTTGAAGGTGCTTCAGATTCTTAAACCTTGGGTTGAGTTCTTTAGCTATCTCCCATTGAAATCTTATTTATTTTTGTCAAATCTGCAGTGAAAGTGTTCCTAAAATGAACAACATGTGCTGGGTCATCATCCAAGATTGCTATAAACGTGAAATATATGGCAGAAAACAGGTAAAATACAGAACAGGAGACATACAATTATTCCCCAAGGAGTTGCGTCACAAATTTAATGCATAATTTTTTTAATAAGCGTTATCAGCATGGAAGCATGTCTTCTGGTATGGTGGCTGAAGCACAAAGGGTATACAAGTATTTTACATATCTGGTATGTAAAAGTGCCATGGGAACACTTGTTCTCATTTTCAGGTGACATTGTAAATAAGAAGTGAGCAGCATTATCTCCTGCAAATATAAACAAACTTATTTTTCATAGCAATTGGCTAAACAAGTAGTAAAACTGAGTGGACTTGTAAGCACTCAAGTTTTTTGTTTTTGGTTTTTTTGTTTTGCTTTTGAGTGCAGTTAGTGCAAATTACAAATGTAAACTGTTACATTTCACTATAACGAGATTGCACTATAGTACATATATGAAGTAAATTAAATACTCGTTTGTCTTTTTACGTTCAAATATTTGTAATAATAATAATAAAGGGAGCACTTTGTATTCTGTATTGTAATTAAAACATAGAAAAACATGTAGAAATATTTATAAATTTCATTTAGCATTCTATTGTTTGGAAGTACATTTATAACAGATTAACTTTTTAAATTATGATTCATGTGAGTTAATTGCACAAGTTATCTGTGATTGGCAGCCCTATTTTTTTTAATGTGCCATCTACTGCTCATGTCACATGGAAAAATGAAAGTTTTTAAATGTACATATCACCCATTCAGCAGAACAAAACTAACTATACACAGAATCCCCACTTTTCTTCCCTCACCTCTTTCAGCTGCTTCTTTCCAAAGAGAGTCTAGTAAACTAGATAGGCCTTGTAGCACATCTTGAAGATAAGATTCTGACTCTTCAAGCCGATGTATTTTGGGGAAAAGCAAGATTCAGACCTCAGGGACTCTTCCTGAGAATGCTCACCTAGCAGAAGATTCCTGTCTATCTGAACTGATAAGGTTTCACAGTTTCTAGGTACCAAGGAAATAGGAGCTAGCAACTCTTCCTCCAACAGGCTCTCCTGGTGTAAAAACTTTTTCTATACGGTGCCCCAGCTGTGCTGTTTCCATGTTCAACCCACTGAGCAGTGGCTCTAACAAGTTTTCAACTCCTTTTCAGGCCAATTTCCTACTCAATTTGACAAACTTTTGGAATTCTTCTCCCCCATAAAATCCACGATTCACAGAACCTGAGTATCAATTTGACAAACTTTTGGAATTCTTCTTCTCCCCCATAAAATCCACGATGCACATAACCTGAGTAGGTAGTCAATCAAAACAAGATCAACAACAGAAAAGGTGAGAAAAACTTAAAGCTCCATACAGATAAACCCAATCTACTGCTCAGGGATGTAACAATATCTAGTATATGTAATTAGTGTTTTTCATCTGTAGAGCCTCAAAGTTCCCTACCAAGAGGTAAGTATCAATATCCTCAACTTTATAAAGAGCTATGGAAAGATCGAGCAATATTCTATCCAATATATAGAATTTAACTAATAGTACTAATAATAGTCTTCCAGGGTTTGTTCCTTTTTGAAGTTTTCTTCACATCTTCCTTTGATAACTATGAAACATATGATATGTGGAGTGGTTTTACTGTTTTCTTTAAAGACACTGTCAGAAATTATTGACTTTATTTCAGCATAATGTTTATGCTAGCTTGGAAACCAGATTTATAATTGGTATCACATTAAATTTAGGATTATTACTTGATTCTGATGACTAAAAAGAGGATTACTTACCTTTCTTTCTGAGGAAAAACAACATGTAGTGTATATTTGCTGATTCCTGAGCTTGAAGCATTAAAACATAGTTTTAAAAAGCTATCCTGAATTAACCTACTTAAATTTAACTCCATCTCCTACGCAAATTTCACAATTTTTAAGGGTGCTAAGGATGAAGAAGAGGAGAGGGGAGAAGTTTATACAAAACATGGTTCCTATTCATTTTAAGCAGGAGCACAGAAAAGCCCTACTTAGTTTATTGGATGGAGAAATCATTTGTGTTCATAAAGCACAAATTTGTTAAGTTGGAAATAGTGACACACAGAAGGAGATTAAAAGATAAAATACCACAGTACTTAGAATTTTTTTCAGTATTGTACATATCAGTTATTCCTTTATGTTGACAAAATAACCAAATGAAATGTAAGAGAATTTCTACAGTTTTTTTCAGTATTGTACATATCAGTTATTTCTTTACGTTGACAAAATAACCAAATGAAATGTGAGAGAGAATTTCTACAGCCTTATAATCAGCACATTCTTGCTTGATTATAATCAAGCTAACTTTGGGAAACAATAGCTCAAGGATGTCACTCATTTCAGAAAACTGTATCAGATGTATCTATTAAAATATTTATGATACTCCAAATACTTGTGCCATTCACATTTGTTGCCTGATCATTTTCTCAAAGCAGTTCTGCTTACATTTATGTTCCAGTAGTACAGTACAGATCACAAAAGATGAAATGATTATCAAAAAATGGACAAAACAGAAACCATAATATCCACTACCCATGCTGAAAAAGATCTGACATCAATTTAATATATAAGCAAATTAGGTTCAACTGATAAAAATTGCTCTCCACAAATGCACATAGAGGCTGAAAAAAATAATGGACATTGTAAATTATTCCTGTCTTAAAAGAATAAAATATATTAACAACAAAATCCTAGCGTTATTTTTGGCCTATGGTAAAATGTTCCTCACAGATACGATGAAAATTCAGAAGCCAGAATACTTCTACAGTAGCCCTTTGCTACTCAATTTGATTAATATTATATACTATTCCATTTTCAGGACATATGTTTAAAGTTTCACAGTCTTAAGAGCAGTCACAGGGTTCTAAAAACATAAAACATGAGTTTTACCTTTTATTCCATTATGTAAGATTATTCTGTAGAACAGTAAAACTGGAAATAGTCTGTTGGTAATGAATATTTTATAAGTCTTAAGGCAGCAGACATTACTTCTCTGGTGAATTGTAGCTGGGATTTGTATAAAAATAGCAAATTCCTGAATGCATGACAAGACAATAAAAAAGCTAAATCAAAATGTAAAACATTTTGACAAAATGAGATCTGTACCAGTGCTAGTCATGAACTATGGTCTGACATTGATGTTTCTAACATCATATCACTTTCATTCATTTCAATCTCAAAGGTTTCTTCTAATGGACGAGTAGTATCTGTAGTTTTCCTTTGATCTGTTGTTTCCAGTGTCACAATACCAGTTTCATCCAGCGTTTGTCTTTCTATATCAAATTCCCTGAAATCCCAGGGAGGTGAAATAATGTTCTTCAATGTCTTCATAGTGTGTACATCAAAGTCATAACATCTTAATTTGTCCTTAATTTCTGTTCCTAAAAATAAACAGTTATTAATTACTGTCCAAATGAACATTCCCAAGAATTTCCATCTCAGAAAATGTTTATCAGCAAATAATCATATTTCTTATACACACACAGACCACAGACAACTAAATCCATAAGCTTCATGCTTTGTGTACTAGAAGTGGTGCAAGAAGCTAGCTATAGTAGTCAATCTCCAGTCTTAAAACCCCCCGAGATATCCCAATATATGCAGCTTCACTTTTACTAGAAGACCTCTTTCTGTTAAATGCAGAAGCCCCAACCCCAAGGAGCACACTGTGCAAAAATGCACATACAGGACTCAGCAACCGGCCCTGTTGAGTGGTGCGGGGGTGTGAAAGGCAGGGAGCCTGCCCGAGGGTTCCACTGGGCTGACTGCGAGCCATCTATGGTAAGTGCCTCCCAAACAGAGCCTGCACATGGCATCCCACCTCCTCTAGCACTCCAACTCCCTGCCCCAGGTCACAAACCAAACCCTCTGCATCCTCCTCCTGCACCCCTGCCCTTGGTCATAATTCCTACCCTAACCCGGCACTCCCTCCATTAATATAAAAAAGTGGAGCTTTTTTAACTTACCAAATTCTTGGAGCAGATCCCTCCCCCCACCATCAAAAATTGCCTACCCCAGTATAGTACTTTAGAATGTATCACCTGACTATATGTGCAATAAGACCTAACATTTAAAGAAAATCCATTTCCAACTGATTTTCACACGGCCAAACCTAATTGGCTTCAGCCTCATTAACATGCGTCATATGTTGTAGTAACGCTACTAGTAACCATGGAAAAATGAACAAATCCAGTGAAATATAAGAAGTTACTGACCCTGTGCAGTAACGATGGTTCTTCGAGATGTGTGTCCCTGTGGGTATTCCACTTAGGTGTTGGTGCATCCTCGCACCAGCGATCAGAGATTTTTACTTAGCCTTCTCATGCGTTCCTCCCCCCCTTCTCATGCTATTGTCTGTTAGCTGCACGCGTGGCGTCCTCGCACCAGCGATCAGAGATTTTTAGCTTAGCCTTCTCACGCGTTCCTCCCCCCTTCTCATGCTATTCTATCTGTTAGCTGCACGCGTGGCATGGGTCCCCCTCCATTTCTTTTCTACTGGAAATCCATTAACAGACTCCAAAGTAGAGGGGAAGATGGTGGGGGTAATTGGCCACACACACCTTGAAGATTCATCATTACTGCACAGGCTGAGTAACTTCTTCGAGTAACATCCCTGTGGGTGCTCCACTCAGGTGACTAAAGAACAGTATCTGCATTAGGCAGAGGCAGGCTTTGGAGTCATGTCTGACAGGTGGCAAGAACAACCATGCCCACAGAGGTAGATGGAACTGGTCCCTCCTGCAATGTGTAGTATTGTTCAAAGGTACGATGGGAGGACCAAGTAGTCGCTCTGCAGATGTCAGCAAGAGGGACATCGTGAAGAAAGGTGGCAGACATCACCATTGCTCATGTGAAATGGGCAGTGACCCCCTGAGGCGAGCACTTGTTGCGAAGCTCGTAACAGGCGTGTATACAAGTTGATATCCATTTTGATATTCACTGAGCGGAGACGGCTCTTTCCTAAGAGGGACCAGAGGTAGAAATAGAAAGTCTATTTGATAATCTGAATTGTCTTGTCCTGTTCAGACAGAAGGCTACAGCTTGTTGCGCATCCAGGGTGTGTAATATTCATTCCCTAATGGAGTTTTGAGGTTTTGGACAGAATGTGGGTAAATAAATAGGCTCATTGATATGAAAGGAGGTGTGGCTGACTTTGCAATAGACTGTGTGAGGCAGGTCCGCCATCAAGGCTGCACTCTCCCTTACTCATCTGGCTGACATGTTCGTTACTAAAAATGCTTTTTTAATAGTGATATGCTGGAAGAAGGAAGTTGCTAGAGGCTTGAAGGGAGGTCTTGTCAGGGTATTCAAGACAATAACCAGGTTCCATAGTGGTAGGCGTGGTCGTATATCAGGATGCGTATTTCATAGGTCAGAAAGGAAATGTTTCATGATGGGGTAAGCAAACACGGAAACATCATCCACTAGGCTGTAAAAGACTGTGATGGCAGACAGGTGAACTTTTATGGAGCTGATGGAAAATCCTGCCTCACTAAGGTCAATGAGATATTCGAGGACAATAGGTATAGAGGTGGTAGTAGACTGGAGTTGACGTTGCAGACATTTGTTCTGGTAAGTACATCTTGTTAAGGGACAACACTTATTCAATAGAATCTGCTTCACTCTCTCAGAACAGGTAAGTTCTTCATGTTGGAACCATAGAGGAGTCAGTGGTGAGCCTAAGTATTCAGTGATTGGGGTGGCAGAGTGTCCCTGATGTTGGGCCAGAATAGGTAGGAGAGGTATTGGCTCTCGGATTGAGAGGTACTACTGGAGGTAAGAGAACCACAATTATCTGGGCCAGGATGGGGCAATGAGAATCACCGTTGCATGATCTGTGCATATCTTCAGAATTACCCTGGGGACCAAGGGAATTGGTGGGAAGACATACAGAAGTGGAGCTGCCCATGGTAAAAAAGGCATCTCCCAGGGAGTTCCTACCCTTTCCTGCCCTAGAGCAAAAGTGTGGGAATTTGTGGTAGGTTCTGGTTATAAAGAGCTCTACTGATGGGAATCTCCACTGTTGGAATATGTGGTGGAGGATCCTGGGGCTCCCATTCATGCTGCTCTGAAAAGTGTCTGCTCAGGGTATCTGCCATAATGTTCTGATGGCCCGGTAGGTACACTGCCATTAGCATCGTGTCGTTTGTTATGCACCAGTTCCAAAACCTGATTGTCTCCATACATAACACTGGAATGGGTTACCTAGGGAAGTAGTGGAGTCTCCATCCCTAGAGGTGTTTAAGTCTCGGCTTGACAAAACCGTGGCTGGGTTGATTTAGTAGGGATTGATCCTACTTAGAGCAGGGGACTGGACTTGATGACCTTCTGAGGTCTCTTCCAGTTCTATGGTTCTATGATTCTATGATTGGGCACTCCCCTGAAAGTTGGTGTAGAACATACAGGGTGTGTTGTCCTTGAGGACACAAGTAGTTTTGCTGTGAATTATCGGAAGTAAATGTAGACAGGCATCGCAAACAGCTCTGAGTTCCAGTATGTTGATGTACAGATGTGTTTTGTGATGTGACTGCCTGCCTTGGACTGTATGGTGACCACAGTGGGTGCCCGATCATGTGAGGGATGTGTTGGTGGTTATTAGACAAGATGGATCACATCGCTGGAAGGGTACTCTGTCGAAGATTGTGCAGGCATGTCCACCAGCGAAGAGAGGTAATTACTAGCCAAGGAAGTGTTACACATTTGCCTAGACTGTGCCAATTGCAGATGTAAATTGTTGCTAGCCATCCCTGTAAGCAACGCAAGTGGAATCTTTCAAACCGTACTATATACATAGTGGTTGCCATGTACACTAGAATCTGAACACATGTCCGAACATTGGTGAAGGGGGCATGTAACACTGTTGATAAGGTCACGTAGCGCATAAAACTGATAAACAGAGAGGGTGGCCCTGGCTCTGGCGGCATCCAGCAATGCGCTGATAAATTCTATTGTCTGGGAAGGCTCTAGAATAGACTTTTGTAGGTTTATTAAGAGGTCTAAGTGGGAGAAGACCTCCGGAGCAATGTTCAGCATAGTTAACATTTGCTGTGGAGAGGTGCCTTTTTGATTAGGCAGACATCTAGATAGGGGAATATAATGACCCCCTGATGTCTCAGAAACATATTTACCACCACTTATGTCTTGGAGAACACATGTGGTAAAGCTGACAAGCCAAAAGGTAGGACACAGTACTGATAATTATTGTTGCCCACAATGAATCTGAGGAACGTTCTGTGAGAAGGGTGGATGTATATGTGAAAATGGGCATCTTGAAAGTTGAGGGCTGAGAACCAGTCCCCCTTGTCCAACGCTGGTATTAGAATGCCCAATATCACTCTCCTGAATTTGTGGTTGCAGAGGAACTTGTTCAGTTTCCTGAGATCTAAGATGGACCTCCAACCTCCTGTCTTCTTTTGCATAAGGAAATAATTTGAGTAGAACCCTCTCCTGTGGAAATATGGGGGAACAGGTTCTACAGCCCCCAAGCTGATTAGATTTTGCACCTCTGCTTGTAATAGGTAAGAAGGGTCCCTGAAGAGGGATGGGAAGGGCGGTGGGGAGGGGACAGACAGGAAAGGGATAATAGAGCCTGATCTTACGATCTCAAGGAACCATTGGCCCATAGTGATAAGGGCCCCACTGGTGACTAAAGAGGTGGGATGACTGTGTTGGTTCTAGGGGGAGGTCACTCAGAAACTCGACCACCCCTTCAAAATTGCAGCTTTGAGGTTGACAGTTGCAGTGCTGTAGTCTGGGTATGTTGACTTCTTCTGCTTGATTGGTGCTCAGATTTTTGCTCGAACGGTCTTTGTTGTTGTCTGTGGAAGGAGTTGTCTCATGGCCTTTGATAAGATGTGTACCATCTTTTTTTGTTGAGTGGGGTGTCTGTGCTCAACGTGCAAAGGATTGTATGAGAATCCTTCATCGAATGGAGGACCTCATCTGTTTTGGCAATGAATAGCTGATTTCCATGAAAATGA